TATCAAAAATGACAGAGTACGCTGCTCCTAGAAAAATTCCTACAGTTCATACAAATACATCAAATATATCTCGCACGAGAGAACATTAAGCGAAAACAATTACTATATAAAGAGCCAGAGAACTGAACCTTGATCAATCGCAGCAGTTCCAGGAACTGCATTCTCGTAAGGAGCAGCTGCCTGCCCTGTTCGCGAATCAATGATCCATCGCTACGCCTTTTACTGCAACAAAAAAATTTGACTAAAGCGATATAAATTTAAGATTGCTCCTGCCCAATTCACAACAGAATTTGATGTTGTTACGGTGCAACTTTTATAACTTAAAAAAAATCTGTGAAAAATTTCAGCGGTGAGCAAATTAACCCCTTTTTTCCTCTCCCTTACACTCCTCCCTTTCCTCCTGATCCCTGAACACCACGACCGTCATACTGACGAGGTCTAGCCGTTGTTTTGAGCTAAGACGTATATGAATTAATGGACGGAAACGTCCTAACTTAACTGTTTTTCCTACTATTTTTTCCCCTTTATATACACTTCCCTTACTTTGGCACCCATCAACATGGATGCTACAAAACGGCTTAACATATGCGCTGCTGTTTTCATACAGTTTCGAATACTTCGCAATCCCAAAATCAAGTACAGAATAAATTTTAAATTTCCTGCCATTATGACGGCTGACCTATTACGCCGTAGAAAATAATTTCATTCTTTTTGGAGCTAGCCGCTGAGAAATGCGACTGCAGCGCGAAATGCAGGAAACTGCTGAACAGTGCTGAACCAAGGATATTCCCCACTCACGAAAATCTCAAATTATTCGAATAGGGAACGGCAAAAGAGCCCCGCCGGGAAAAGAACCAACAAACGTACCGTCAGATTTCAGCAAAATGAAGGAAATCAAAGAGAAAAAGGATGGAGGAGGCAAGGTAAATAAATAGCAACGCGCACCAGACTAGCCGGTACGATCATGTGTTTTGTGCAATTCAGCCCATCGAATGATCGCCTATTAATGATTTTCGCTGCTTTGTACTTTAGCCTATGCAAAAATAGTTCAAACATTGGAAAATAGTCAAAAATCTCACGCACCTGCGCATGAAGGCTGAACTCGAAACCCTGAAGGGTGAATATCTTTCCGTGACTCCCGAATTAATAGTTTACCCGACAAAATTTTCACGAGGCCGTAGGTGATACTCAAGAGCGCGGGAACGCTGTATTTGAATAGGCGAGGTTGAGCGTGGGCAGGGGGTCATTATCTTAAAATTTCAGCTCCCCAGACTCCGTGGTTCCCGAGATAATTTACCCGTAAAAAACCTTCACGGGGCCGTACGCGTTACCCGCGGGTAAGGGAAGGCTGAATTTAAATCTGCTGCGTCATCTGTTGGCGGGTGCCGTACGAGTTACCCGCAGGTACGGGAAGGCTGAATTTAAATTTGCCGCGTCACCCGTTGGCGGAGAGTACTATACCAAAATTTCAGTCGCCTAGCTTTTGTGGTTCCCGAGTTGAAAGTGCGGGACAAAATGTGGGACGCACAACACAGACAACCCCGTGACAATATGCGTTTTGTAACGCTGTTACACAGCACAAAACGCATAAAAATTGCAAAAAAATTTCAGCGGTAAGCAAATTAACATCTGCTGTTTTCACACAATTTCGAATACTTCGCAATCCAAAATCAAGTACAGAATAAATTTTAAATTTCCTGTCATTATGGCGGCTGATCTATTGCGCCGTGGAAAATAATTTCATTCTTTTTGGAGCTGCTCGTTGAGAAATGCGACTGCAACGCGAAATGCAGGAAATTGCTGAACTGTGCTGAACCAAACATATTTCTCATAAAAATCTCAAATTATTCGAAAAGGGAACGGCAAACGAGTTTAGCCGGGAAAAGAAGCAGCAGACAGAGCGCCAGATTTTAGCAAAACGTAGGAAGTCAGACAGAAACAGCAGGGAGGAGGCAAGCTAAATGACAAGTATGAAAATGAAGTTATATCTATTTTGCCCCCTTTTTATGGGTTCTGTGCGGTGTAACTACATTACAAAATGCATATTGTCACGGGGTTGTCTGTGTGTGTTTGTGTGTGTGTGTCCCACATTTTGTCCCACACTTTCAACTGGGGAACCACAAAGGCTAGGCGGCTGAAATTTTGGTATAGTGCTCCCCGCCAGCGGGTGACGCGGCAAATTCAAATTCAGCCTTCCCGTACCCCCGGGTAACACGTACGGGCCCCGTGAAAGTTTTTTACGGTTAAATTAATATCTCGAGAACTACGGAGTCTAGGAGGCTGAAATTTTAGGGTAATGACCCCCTGCCCACGCTCAATCTTGCCTATTCAAATTCAGCGTTCCCGCGCTCCTGAGCATCACCTACGGCCTCGTGAAAATTTCGGCGGGTAAACTATTAACTCGGGAATCACAGGGCTCTTGAGTATCACCTACGACCTCGTGAAAATTTTGGCGGGTAAACTATTAACTCGGGAATCACGGAAAGATATTCACCTAAGGCTCGTGAAAATTTTGGCGGATAAACTATTAATTCGGGAATCACGGAAAGATATTATCCTTCAAGGTTTCATATTCAGCTTTCATGCTCTATTAACTCGGGAATCACGGAAAGATATTCATCCTTCAAGGTTTCGAATTCAGCTTTCATGCGCCAAACTATTAACTTGGGAATCACGGAAAGATATTCATCCTTCAAGGTTTCGAATTCAGCTTTCATACGCTGTGCGTGAAATTTTTAACTGTTTTTCAATGTTTGAACTACTTTTGCATAGACTAAAGTACAAAGCAGTGAAAAAAATTAACTCTGGGATCAAGGAAAAATATTCATCCTTCAAGGCTTCGAATTCAGCTTTCATGCGCTAACTATTAACGCGGGAATCACGGAAAGATATTCATCCTTCAAGGTTTCGAATTTAGCTTTCATACGCTGGTGCATCGGGAATCACGGGAAGATATTCATCCTTCAAGGTTTCGAATTCAGCTTTCATACGCTGGTGCGGGGAATCACGGAAAGATATTCATCCTTCAAGGTTTCGAATTCAACTTTCATACGCTGGTGCATGAAATCGAAATCACGGAAAGATATTCATCCTTCAAGGTTTCGAATTCAGCTTTCATACGCTGGTGCGTGAAATTCTGTTTTCCAATGTTTGAACTATTTTTGCATAGACAAAAGTACAAAGCAGTGAAAATCATTAATAGGCTCGTTCGATGGGCTGAATTGCACAAAACGCATGATCGCATCGGCTAGTCTGGTGCGCGTTGCTATTTATTTAAAAATTTCTGAAGTAGTGTTTCCAATTCGACCAGTGAAAAATGCCTATGTGGTTCAATCGGAAACAACTAACTCTCCTCTTCCCTCCCCATTTATAAAAAAAGGCATAACACTAACTTGCCAGAAAAATCTTGAAAGGTCGAACTCATCACTTGCCACCAGGGGCCCTCGGCAATTTGACGAGCTACTGCGGAATCAGTAGTTGTCATATAAGCTCCAATCATTTTGGCCACGTCCAAGAACGGGCTTTTGAATCTAAAACAGCGTTAAGCAGGTGAAGGCACTAGTGAAATTTATCAGAATAAAATCAACAACACTGACATTGCCCAGTTAGCTTGTTCTATTTAAATTTTTATGCGCAAATATGGAAAATCGGGCAAGTCACCAAGACAAACCGACGTTTTTCTTCAGTCCTCGTTTTTTGGGAATAATCACTGGTTTGTCAAATCACAGCATAATTTTTGTTTTTTACAGTTCATTGAAAGGAAAAAGCTTACTTCGAGAAGGAGCGTAACAGAAAGTCCCATTCGCTGATATTCATGAAAAATGTGACAATATGCAGCATTATTTTGCTCAGTGTTACTGAACTTGTCAGCGATGATTGAATCAATCCCTTGACGGTGGAGTTCAACTCCTGCGTCATGTGTATAAACTGGGCATCGTTCGATACACGTGCGAATTCTGCATGCCAGTTTTCCAGCTAATTTATGAAAATGAGCTTATTTAGATGAAAAAAAAACTTCAGTTACTAAGAAACTGTATAAAGTACTTGTACTATAACCTCCACTAGAAACCTATCTTTCGCTCAATCTATTGACGAACGAAGCATTTCACGAATCGGTCAGTGATAATCACAAGAAAATATATATATAATTAGCAGCGTGTTGCTGGAATTATGCTTTTTTATGCGGTTGCTAGCAACATCACATTCTTAGCTACACTTCCTCCTCATCGATTTCTTGGGGCCAGATAAACTGGGCTACCCTGAATGGTGCCCTCCTTTAAAAGCAGGAAACAAATGATATTTCCGTCTCACACCATGTGTTGGTCCTTCCAGCACTGAATGAGAATATTTCGAAGAAAACCTTAGAATCGATCAGATGCAGTCGTTTTCACTTTTCTTCTCATAGGAAACTAAATCACCCTTTTTTGCAGCCTTTTCGGAACCAAATCGCGCGTTGATGTTTTGACGATTAGCGCTGCAGTTCTGTTAATTTTTGCATAACGGATACGTTACCGTAAATTTTTGAATGTTTTGTAAATCGATGATGATTCTTCGCGCCTAATCCCCTCCTCCATCCCACCATATGTCCTCAGCAAGTCCTATTCCCTATGCTTATAATCAGTCCAATATACATATATATATATATATGTACATTAAGAATGAAAAAAAAAAAACAAAAAAAAACAAAAAGGTTTCAAGGAATATCCACCTGAACACGGATCGCATCAAGCGCAAACCGCACATGTATTTCCTGCAGTTTCCCGAGTGGTCCCATTTCTTTAACGCACTCATTGCAGAACGTTCGCCATTGCTCTCCGTCCTAAAAAAAGCTTCTGGTATTTAAAATTTGTAACTCTGCTTCACCATCCCATTTTTTCCACTGCTGCAGTGGGACTTGTGTAGAAATGCAGCACATACCCCAATAGCAGCCAACTGTTCCAGTTTCCCGAGCAGTAAGTTGATGTAATCGAAGTTGCTCTGCGACGGCGAAGCTGCGATAACATCGCCAATCATTTTGCTGATGCGACACTGCAAAATCGAACGAGTAATCAAAGCAAACGTGCAATAAATAGCAACGCGCACCAGACCAGCTGGTGCAATCATGCGTTTTGTGCAATTCGGCTCATCGAACGATTGCCT